CCAGGCAATGCTTAACTTCAAAGGTGTATTGAAACATCTACATACAATAAATCTTTTAGCTTTCTTGAATATTAATCACATCAAGATCTTTAACATAGATCTGCTTCAGAGGAGCAGGTTGCCACCTCTCTGACTTCTTTCAAGGAGGAGATCGATTACATTCTCTCCTGGATAACTTGAACAGGATGGATAGATTCTATACTGAGCAGATGGTCCCACAATTCTCCCAAATTCAAGCATTCATGTTATTATCAGTATTGTATCTTATTTTGACCAAGGTTTTGCTGCTAAAGGTGGATCTCAACCCTCAATATGCATACATAATATGCACCAATGGTAGTTCCTGAATAGTCCTCAGGGACAGACCTAAGAAAACATATTGCAGTACCCCAACTGCAAGATAATAAATATGTAAATTTCTAAGCCTCCCGTTCTAAAAATGGCTGGTAATTTTCAGAACTATCAAAACTGGCTGAAGTTACCCTTGGCCATACTCTTAATCTGCTGCTCTAATTGTAAATTCAATTCCCAAACTGTAAACCTGTTACTTCAGGATAAATGCTATCCCAGAATTAGAATAAGAAGTGGCAGCAAGCCAGATAATTTCTGCACAAACAGCCGCTCTGCTGGAATGAAATCCCTTATTGCTCCCAGACATCAAGTAAGAACAGCCACAAGATCTCTTACTCAGCCCTGGGTGGAAATATATCAATAATCTCAACAGATACACTGCACTCTCAACATCGTTGTGCATCAACTTATGGGATGATTCTCATTTCCCTTTTCAGTGACTACTTAGTAAAATCCACCACTATGGCCTCTCCTCTTTCCCCACATTACTCGGTTCTGACAACCTTTGAGGTGATGTGGCGAATCTAGGGAACTACCTTTGCACTTTCTATTCAGGTTCTCCATGGCAGTAGCACAAATGTGGTTTTACCTGAAGCAGGTATGTCCTGCATGCTAGCCTAACAATCAAGACTTGATTGTTTAGGGAACATTTGAAGGTAGACTTCTTAAGTCTAGACTGGTATGCCATCCTCTCCTGGTGTTTTACATCTTCTGAATCACTTCAACATACGTAGTCCCCCCTTCTCTTGCTTTGGTAGAGTCCTCTATGCCGAGCCACTGATACCACTGCTCATTTTCCAAAATCCAGCAATGAATCAAAAGGCCGTTCCTTCCTGCAATCTGCATTTCCGTAGACTGACCAAGTTCTGTTTTGCTTAGTATAAATCATGCTTAGATTATCCTAGAATTCAAGTGTTGGAAATAACCCATTGCACCCATGTAAAAGTTATGTTGCTAAGGGAGTGGGGAGAAGAAGCCAGAATCAAGACCCAGATTTGAAGTAATATGCAACAGAAAGTCAATCATAATGCCATTTTCAAGATATAATCTTACTTAGAATAGAATAGAAGAATAGAATAGAATAGAATAGAATAACAGAGTTGGAAGGGACCTTGGGGGTCTTCTAGTCCAAACCCCTGCTTAGGTAGGAAACCCTATACCACTTCAGACAAATGGTTATCCAATATATTCTTAAAAACTTCCAGTGTTGGAGCATTCACAACTTCTGGAGGCAAGTTGTTCCACTGATAGTTTTCACTGTCAGGAAATTTCTCCTTAGGTCTAAGTTGCTTCTCTTATCGATTAGTTTCCACCAATTGTTTCTTGTCCTGCCTTCAGGTGCTTTGGAAAATAGCTTGACTCCCTCTTCTTTGTGGCAGCCTGTGAGATATCGGAACACTGCTATCAAGTCTTCCCTAGTCCTTCTTTTCACAAAACTAGACATATCCAGTTCCTGTAACGTTCTTTATATGTTTTAGCCTCCAGTCCAGTCATCTTTGTTGCTCTTCTCTGCACTTTTTCTAGAATCTCAACATCTTTTTTATATTGTGGTGATCAAAACTGAATGCAGTATTCCAAGTGTGGCCTTACCAAGGCATTATAAAGTGGTATTAACACTTCACATGATCTTGGTTCTATCCCTCTGTTTATGCGGCCTAGAACTATGTTGCCTTTTTTTGGCAGCTGCTGCACATTGCTAGCTCATATCTAAATGGTTGTCCACTAGGACTCCAAGATCCGTCTCACAGTTACTACTATTGAGCAAGCTACCACCTATACTGTACCTGTGCATTTTGTTTTTCTTGCCTAAATGTACTTTTTTCATCATTGAATTTCATTTTTTTAGATAGCGCCCAATGCTAATTTACATTTAGTTGGTCAGGACTTTGGATCAATAAGAAGTTCTATACCATCCCAGTTATCTGGTAAGAGCATTCTCCAAATTTGACATCACGATAAATTCGTTCTCAATTTTCTGTCTTCACTTTACACAAAAACAAGGTATTATAAACTGCTATACTACTGATGCCATACTACTGATGCCTTTTGTTCCTCTGCACCTAGTTCCCTACATTAATATGGAATACTGTGATACTTACAGATTTACCCCAAGCCAAGATGCACCATTAAAATCTAGTATCATTGCTTCACTTCCATGTAACAAAATAGTATTTTATGATGTGTTCGTCTATATTTAAAGGAGGCACAGAAATCAGCCTGTGATTTCAGGATCAATTCTTCTAACAGGCAAAAATGCACATGCCATTTCTAGCGCATGGCTGCTGATTCATATTTAACTCAATCATGGTTTAATTTAGATGTCTGACTTTGCACTGAGCCATACTGGTCAGTTTCACTAAGATACCTAAGCCACCAATCAGCCAAGCACATTTGATTTAACATGTTTTACAAACCTAACCTAAAGATTTGGCTTAGATTCTTATCATTTTTCATTGTTTCTTGGCCTCAACAATTCTTTCTAAATTAAAACAAATGCCCTTGCTGCCAACCCAGTCATTGCCTTTGCTTTCCTATTGCAAAAAAACCTCAAACCAACCATGAAAATGCTGAAACTTTCTGCTCATCCTACAATAATATTAAACAAATAAAGCATCCAAACTATATCATTTTGATGCTTTCGGGTCAGAAAAAGCTTGTCCCTCACAACATTTGGTTATTTAAATAGACTATTTATTCCATGAGGAGAACAGATTTGTAGTTTAGGATATAAACCTGGCATAGTAGCTCTAGTCAATGGTATACCATAAATGATCATTGGCACCAATGCTAACTGTGCTTTGGTTTTAAAGTTGGTATTCAACATATTCAGGAAAAGAACAGCTGGTGGAAACTTAACTATGGGACTCAGAGGCCTTGTCGCCCATAGACATGGGAGGAATAGTAGGGATATCTTAAATAACTGACCACCTATCTTTGGATTTCAAGCCTCAGTAGCCTCTTAAAACATGATTAATGAGATTGTGGGAGATGTAGCTGAAAACTTTGGAAATATTTGCCTCAGCAGCAATAAATCAACCAGATGACTGAAGGGATAGCTCCGCATTGACAAGGCAACTTGCTGAAGGACTCAGTGCATATTTTATGAGCCGAGGTAGCACAGTGGTTAAATGCAGCACTGCAGGCTACTTCAGCTAACTGCAGTTCTGCAGTTCGGCTGTTCAAATCTCACCAGCTCAGGGTTGACTCAGCCTTCCATCCTTCCGAGGTGGGTAAAATGAGGACCCGGATT